TATTAATAAGTTTGAGAAGGTATAAACTATTGTAGTTGCATTTAAAGCTTTTGATAGTTCATTGAATTCTGCATAATTAGGTTTCCAAGTTTCTCCTCCATGTTGCATAATCCTTGAATGTGCCTTCTTGTACATGGAAGTGGCTTGTCTAATGTCATCAATAAACTGACATGTAAATTGATACTTCTTCTGACATATGTGCTCCAATATAATTACAATAATCCGTAATTGCCATTCCAATTTAATAACTGTTTCTCCTGAAAGTACTTTATCAAACTCTTGAGAATATAGACTGTTCACAGCTGTAGTTAACACCTCTACTGACACAGAGTCTCCTTTATGTTCGAGAATGTATTTGAGTGCATAAATATTCTCAGAATATTGTATGTCCGCTAACAATCCCTTTATTTGCGCATTTGCTGACGTAAGCCCCTGCTCCATTAATTGCAGTATGATTTTAGGAAAACTGCCTTGAGTTACGGTGTTGCTCGGTGTTGAAGTAGAAGATGTCATCGAGGAAACACTGGAAGTGCTTGCTGTTAGGAAGGTGCCTGATTCATAGCCGGTTGTTGAACTAGAGCTCATCGTCAGCTCCTGCAAAAGTAAGGGGAATTGGCTTTCGGTTTCTACTATATCATACGCCGGTGTCATTTGATGGTCAATACTATTGGCCAAAAATTCGCAACTCGACCCCGACGTTTATTGGTCCAAATTTGTTCGAAAACTTTGATTGGTTCGTTACATATGAGGATTTAATTTCGATAATATAAATATAGAACTTTATTGTCGGTTACCCGCTAGAGCTAGTTTTAACATACAGTATATGCTAGGCATACATAGGTACAATAAAGTGCTTGGCTAAGAAGCCTAGAGAATATGTGGGGATAAAATAATATTGAATAGCAATAGTTACAAAGTTAATGTCTAAGATAATAATAAAGAAATTGTTATTGTTAATTATGACGGTATGGAAAAAAGATGAATTGTAATTATTATGGAGAAGACAAGGTAGAGGAGAATCTATAGATTTCAGATATAGAGGGCCGAGGAAGGGAAGGAGTAATGGATATAAGGATTTAATTTCATGGGACATTAAAAATGTTACACTTGACGTCATAAAGTCGTTGGGCTTTGCATTTACACATAAGCGCTCTCAACTACAAGCGGGTAACTTTGGTCGATAATAACACATTAAACAATGTAACACTCTAATTCTCTGTAATAGTACTCTTTTCGTTCACGTGGTAAGTTTATTTGCGGTTAATGATGAGGGATGGTAGCAATATGTTTATTGGTTAAGCATAACTTCTACCATATACTAACTGATCTAATATTCAAAATCTGATATTCGGAAAGGTTAAACTGTTGCCTTAATAAGCTTATCCAATTGAATAGAATAATGCTGTAATGTTGGTAATATTAACAGTCAAATTATGGTAGAAATAGCGTATGAGGCTTTAAAATTTTCCACATAGACTGTCTCCTTCGTTTTCTGCGCTCTCTCTCCATATCCTTCATTAATCGTACGCAAAGTTTTTGTGCCTTGAAGTAAAGTCCTTACAAGCCTATGGTTTCTTGGTGCATCTTGATGTATATTCGCGCAAATGCAAAATGGAACATCCAATTTGTAGGCGCGAGATCAACACCACGTTCTTGTCGAATACATTTGCGCATGAATGAAGCATTCGGCAGTAAAAATTGGAATACTGGCAACTTTATTACAATCTGTTGTCGTCACTAGACATCACAAAAGTCGGGGAAAAAAGCTTGTTTTATTGCCGATTAGCTAACTAACTCATACGCGATTTATAATTATCACTCGTATGCGTAGTCTTCATCTTCATTCTGTAACATTATTTCCATACATGCTCTATATTGAATATTTGTTAGAATTAATAGTCTTCTTGTTGATAATAAAATAATGATATCGCTATGATCCAGTAGTCGACTATTGCTCTCTTAACCTTTCTTATTATTATTATAATTCACGAAATTGGATATCGTATGCCTCAAGAATATCAAAGCGTCTAAATAACATTATAGATCAATCAGTATTTGTTCATCTTGATGCTCATAAAATGGTAAAAATGACGCTTAGCCAAAAAACATAGTGCTAGGGCAAATTGTTTTACTATTACAGAGAATTAGAGTACTACGTTGTTTAACGTGTTATTATCGACCACAGTTACCCAACAACTTTATGACGTCAAGTGTAACATTTTAACGCCCCAATTCTGGTTATGAAATTAAGACTGGAGTAACCGAATTAAATCCTTATACAGTCAACTCTCTTTATAATGACCGCCTCGGGCTGGGCAAAATTGGTCGTTATATGCAGCGGTCGTTATATGCAGTACAAATATATATTATGTAATGTCATTATTCTAATAAACAGCAGACTTAAATAAATTTTCAAAATATCACTATTATGTTGAATGGTGTACTGTTAACTTTCCATTAGCATAATTTTGAATTCTTTCCTCTCTCCTTTTTATTACAGTTTTGCGCACCCGTTAGCTGCTTTCTTGTCCGTTTCATTGTGAAGAATGTTGGAGAATATACGAGAGAAAATTTACCCATATATAAAAATTATTATCGATTGTACTACCGATCACTGTAAAAAGATGTATTTTATAGTATACAGTAATTTATTTATTAATTGACCAGTCAGTCGGACTTTTGTATAAAGAAATACTAAGACTGGTCGGTATAAACAGCTGATTTTAATAGTGATTGAAAGTGGCAAAGCACATGTGGTCATTATAGGGCACCAGTCGGTATAAAGAAGATCGTTATAAAGAGAGTTGACTGTATGTAACGAATCTATCAAAGTTTTCGAACAAATTTGGACCAATGGCGTTGCATAATCGTCGGTCGGGGTTGTGATTCAAATTGCACTGTTGCAACTTTGTACAATAAGTATAACAATGCTCCATGTAATAACGCGTATACAAAAGCGTTTTTTGAAAAAGTTTATTATATGCATAAAAGTAAGAGGTTGCACTTGATTACACAATTTTGTTATTATTATGCATACTAAATTACTTTATATAGGTCATCTGAAAGCCCATTTGGTGAATAAAAGTCATATTGAAGATGCCGATAGATCATTAGTACGTACGTATGTAATTATTATAATAATAGTTGTTTATAATAGCATATTATTAACATCAACCGTTATGTAATAGTGATTGGGGATATTTGTCCCAATATTTAATTATCAGCACAATATTTTGTGAATATTAACTATAACAATTATATATTAGCTAACACTACCAATATTCCGAGTACCTCCAAATAAATACAAACTCAGTATTTTGCTGTGGAATTGAGAATCGGAGAAGTCGACGTCGGCTTTAGATATTTCAGTAAGTATTGGATAGTGTTATTGACTTCAGTCTTAACTGTACGATAAATATAAACTTTTGATTTCGTAGATAAAAACATCAAACTGGAGAAATACAATATAATACAGTTGCTACAGATAAAGCCGGTTATACTGAATACATTCTCCAATGTATGTTGAACTTTTTGCCCGAGGATGACACTATTGTAGAATTTGCTATTAGTTGTGTAAGTATTGTTTGGCTTAGTATAAAATGTATTCAATAATTCTAACCTCAACTCTATTTTAGCAACGCGTCATTTATTGGATTTGTTTACATTCGGAAGAAAAGCTAGATACTATGGAAAGTAACTTGAAAATTGAAACGTCTCCAACTGGTGTAAAAATGATTGATTATGATCAATATCTACAGTAAGATGCAAAAGTATCCCCCCACTTCTAATTCGGGACACGAATGAGTAAACGCTTGAAAGTTTCCCTGTATATAGTGCCTGATCACTTGTAAAATTTCGGCTTGATCGGATGTCTCCAGTAAAAATTTACAAACATCCAATATTTGCCTCTAAAACATATAAAAACCCTACATCGCTTATTTCAATTTATACTTCAAAAATCCATATCTCCACATGTTTCTAATTGATTTGCGGGATCTTTTTTTTTGTTTTGTTTACCAAACCAATTCCTACGCATTTCTTTAGATGTGGTAGTCAAAATCGCTATTATACTTGGCAAGACACGTGAACAATCTTTATAAGTATTATGCCGCACAATTGTTTGTATTTTGTAGTAAATATCACACAGTAATTTGTTTTATTCGTGTCCCGAATTAGAAGTGGGGGGATACTTTTGCATCCTACTGTATGTCCTAATACTAATAGAACATTATATTCCATACACTAAAACAAACGTTGTTGCTAAGCGAGCATGCCCTACTAAATTATCCTGCATGTTGTTTCTTACTATTACGCGGACGCGATATTATTATTAAATTATGAATTATGTATTCACCCAAACACTGTTCAAGAACAATTTGAATGGTTAACCCTATTGATTTAAAAACAATAACCACAGTTTACGTCTTTAACGAGCAATACATCTAAGCATCGGTCTGGTAGCTATTTCTCAATGAATACGTAAAGCAAGAAGTATTCTTTATTTGCACAACACCATCGTGCTTATATAACATATTCAAGATTTATACGCGTTTTACTTTATTGAAATAGCAACTGCATTATTTAGGCCAGCTCCGCAATCACTTGTTTTGTTCCAAGCGTGATCGATATGATGTTAAGCTCGAAAAAGGTCTCTCTTCTATACTTGCTTTTAAACGTTTATAGTTTTGTTTCCTAAAAGCAAATTTTTATAAACATGTGATTTACGATCACTTTGTTAAACTTTAAATACAATAATACTGTTTTCACAATAATTAATTTAGTAGAACATCGACTGCAGGTACATCAGATGAATGACGGTTGTCCAAACCGAGTTTTGTGCTCAAGTGGCATTGAGACATTGAAATAAAGAAAAGTTTAAACACAATTAACAGTCTCTGTACGTGCTTTGTCATACACGACATTAATAACACGCATCACAGAATTCTGTCAATTACTTTTTTGTGTATCAATGTAAAAAGAATGTATTTTATTACAATAACATGGTATATGATACAATAGTTGTTATCGTTAGAGCTGTAAAGCTACAAACGCGATGCACACTTGTTCTGCCTTTGGTGTGCATCCTTGCATTGTTCTTAGTGGTGGAATGGGAGTGTTTGATTTATATTCTTTATCTATATGAAAATTGAGCATGACTACGCTCTATTCTGAATTTTATAATTGCTCTTCAAGAGATATGCTGTATTTGATAATATGGGATTAAGGTTAGTAGGTTGGGAGTGCTTCTTAATTTTGAGAGGCAGAAACTGCGTACTTTATACATGTAATTATTCTATATATTTTTCCCTTGATTTCTCTTTCTTACCATATTAATACATAATTTTTTTAATCCAGACAACACCAATCTCTTGGTTTACAGCAAAATCTCGTAAATAGATCATTTCGTGAGTAATGCTGGTCGTTACAGGCCATTTGTAAGAATGAATCGAGGGTGTTCTTTTTGATTTCTTCTATAATCTGCAATTCTATCGAAATATCGGGCTTTTCTGCCACAAATCAGAGATTTTCTTGTCTTGACAAACCTAAATTTGGGTCACATATCAATAGTAGTTTATATAAGCATGTTTTCTTCGTGAAGATTCATCATGGTGATCAGTTTTTACCCGAAGAATTTCTGATCATACGGCATCGATTTCAACGCATAACTTCGAATATAAAGTAAATGTAATGGCGATAATACAGGTGGATCTTCAAAGTCTTGCTAATACTGATAACACCTCATGTAATAACATATAATGTGAGCAACATTATAAATTTGCTTCTAATTCACAAGGTTTGAAAATTTTAATTGAGCGTATTTTTAAGGCAATAAAATTCTGGCATAGATTCAATATATTGGAGGAGTAAATCGAGAAACAGACATGCATAGCTTTATTGATGCAAATACAGGATAAATACTATATATAATTCTATATTATGTGTCCTATCTTATTTCAAGGTTGTGAAGACAAACGTACTCGAGATAGCTTGTATCAGGGCAATTTTAAGAGGAGGCATAAATTATACTTTAAGTATTTAGGGGCAATGGAATAGGATGTTGACGGATCACGATGGATGTGTGTCCAATCACGCACCTTCATCGTTATTTAATTGATGTGATTAAACATTATATGACATCTCATTATTCTAATATCAACAAAGAAGTGAGTTGCTTCTGGAACGTAACTAAGCGCAAAACTTCTACAGTAAACGGCAAAAAACTGCTATTTATTGATTTCGACCTGTATTTGATACAATAAGAGCATTTAAAAAGTGATATAACCAACCTAAAAACATTCGCACGTAATATAATGCAACACAATAATAAATTTATGAATAACTTTTTCTCATATCAAACATGTCTTCCTCCATCTTGTGTTTGTCCCTAATATTAAAACCAAAAATTAAGCTCTTATAACTGTTTACCGGTTTAAGCAAATATTTAGTAGGTAAGGGCCTATTAGAATATTTCTCGAGTTGCAATAAAGGTCTTGCATAAGACGATAGATAGTATTCCAGATGTTATTACCAGAATTAGTCATTTTAGTAAGATCTGTATGTAATATAATCTTACAGTAATTCTTAATTTATCTAAACGTTTGTGAGGAACAGCATTACAACACCACTCAGCAAGTTTCTCATATTGCTCAGATACTGAATCAGGCATCGGGTGATCGTAATTCGCGCATAATATTGCATACTAATTCTCTATCAATGGTTTATCCGAAAGGTAGGTGGTTCACCAGTTGCAATAGAATACATGATAGTACTGTACCAAAAGAATATGTGTAAATCCTTCGTAAATTGAGACTTCCGGGTGCAATAAAAAGTAAATTTTGATTTGAATTCGCCGATAGATAGCACTATGCATAGTTATGCAAAACATTGTAATTTCATCTTCCACGTCAATTGTCAACATTTTGTAAGATAAAAGACTATCATTTATAGCATATGGCATGTTTCTGGATCTTGTGTGACTTCATAAATCACTACATCTGGCGTGATTTCTGAACTATCAAGGAAAATAAACACAGTCAGATTAAATAGCACTGACATTGTTGCTGTTGGATTCAAAGTACGGATAAAAAAATTTTATTTATAGAGCTTATTGTTGACAATGAACATTAGTATTAGCTTGTTTAATTACATGTGCGATACAATTGTGGAGAGAATTCAGTCAACAAAAAATGATCTACGAATTTTGTTCGACACTATTAGCGGCATATGCTACTTATAAATAATTTAGATATTGTCGATATGTGACATAATTTGAAATCATGGCTTATAACATTAGATTATTGTAACTGGACAACGTGTCTCTTGTACTGTTAGTAATAGGGGTGCATCCGAGAAGAAGCCAGCATAGTGATAAGGCAATATTGAAGGAGGAGGCTAAACATATCCATACACCATGCTATAATTCTTATATACGTGTGGTGTGTATGTCAGTCGGAATGGACGTAAGTCCCCATCTGACATAATCTAAACTGATAGGCTTTTGTAAGTCTTTACTTTTGATATAATAAAAAATTACAGAGCGGTAATAACCGCAATGTCGAACATCAGAAAGAAAAGGAAACTAGTTAAAGAAAGCTATATGATAAATGCCCAAGAATTACAGAGTACAAAAGAAAAGTTGGATCTTATTATGCCTCCCACATACAACGCAGTTCTTCTATTTGCGAAAAACAACAAGATTTAATATTTCAGAAACAGGTTTACTGCTATTGATAGATATGAGATATCCCTCATGGCTTCAAAGATAGCAAAAACTAATTCATATTCTCAGGCGTTTATAACTATCTAATTAATTATGCTTTCCAGAGAATTCTCATCTAGAACTTTGACTACGATACAAATGTATGCGCATTTCCTACGTAGATAATGTTGACGGCTAGCTCCTATAATCTTGGTGTGAATGCATCAAGAACATCACACAATAAAATATTGTTCTTGAACAAAGCACAGAAAAAACCCGAATTCGGGTATTCATAAAAAGGCAACCCTCATAGTACGTACGTAGCACCAACTTCATCATGTCACTGCAATCTACTGTGGACTACTTGTTACTTAATAAGTGTATCTGATATTAACTTGCACTTAAATACTTACCAAATATATTCGTAAGAAGAATATTTAAACATCTATAAAAGTAATAGATAAATTTAATTCTACGAAAATTAAATAGAAAGCGATTGAACATTTTGATTCAAAAGTTTAAAAATTGCTATTTGCTGTTTCTTTATGTGGCGACTTGTGTGATAAACAAGATAGATACAAAGGTGAAATACGGCAGACAAGCCCTCTTGCTTGTTATGTGATCTATTTTGCTTCTCGGGAGTTTCCGTTTTCGCGTATATGAACCATCTATCATTAGATACAAATAGTTCTTTCTGATTACAACATTGATATTTGCAATAGATATTCAAGCCGTCGACAACTGTGTGTCTGAATAACTTCCTGATTAACCAAACTACAATCACTCAAGACAATGCACAGTTTTTAGTGAAACTAATACAAACAAGATTTTGACATTTAGTCACTTAATTAAGATATGTTTACTACAGGTGACTTGGTTTGTTTGTAACGTTGTGTCGAAATCCATAAAAGATACCCGCCTTCCTGTTATGGAAACCACATTCTGTACTACCCGGATAATTCTCCCTCAGGTGATGATCGCTGCTGCACAAGATGTCGATCGAGTTTCTGACAAACATTCACTCTTTGTTTAATCTATCGAATAATCAAGTGGATGCAAATGCAACAGAACCGACTGAAAAGCGTATGTCAGAATGCTGCACAATTACTATGCACTTTGTGTAATATCATGAATGAATGAATATGTTCAACCTGGCGCTGTTAATGCAAAGACCATTACGGATAAGAACTGGCAACCGCTGTTGTTTACGTTTCAACCGGAAATATTTTATCGGACGGGAAGATGCTAAGACACGGCAATGGATATTCTAGGAAACCCATACTGTTTGTATTGATTAATTATGGGAGAAAACATTTTATCGGGAGAAAAAAAAAACACGGCAAGGCGCGGCAATAGATATCCTAGGAAACTCGTATCGCTCTTGTTCCTCTCAACCATTCTATACACCCAAATGCAGAAAGAGATATGCGAGCGACTCGCAGTTTAATTGCTTCATAACGCGATTGTGTAATATCAGATTCAGCACAGCCTTCTTGTTCCAAAAGCTATAAAGAGAGGCAGTTTTACTCCAAGATTATCCCAAGCTTTTCCTTTTGGCTTAATAGTCTAACAAACTGTAACAGTATTTATCAGAAATGGTGGCACTAACGTACGATGTTCTCAAGACTAAATGGAGAGGCCGAAAAGATACAGAGACCGTTGTTTTTGGAGCCACGCGTGACGCAGTCATCACGAAACTTAAAAAATTGGTTCAGGATCAAACCGTACGTTTTTCCTTTTTTATTTACTTTATTCCAACTTCTCGAACAGAGAATAATGTGTATGCGCAATTTTATTTCAAACTCTTAGAAAGCTGCTGCGCTAAATGGAGGCGTGTTTACGGACGAGGAATGGAATATTAAAAAATATCCCAGGGTTGCGCTTTACTGGAATAACGTGAGCGCCACGCGTCAACCAGATCAACCGTACGACTACACGGAGATCAAACGTCTAAGTGTCGCGGCCCCACAATCGAAATTCTACATCGACGAAACTAAGCCGGGTGATATTAAACAAGGTCGGTTGTGTATACACTTGTTTTCCATTTTGGCATACCTTATTCTCACATGATATAATTATCAAAAGGTGGACTTGGCGATTGCTGGTTTCTCGCAGTTCTTGCTGGGGTCGCTAATGTTCACGGTCTTGTTCATTCCATTGCCGTCGAATATAATGATAAAGCCAAGGTATAGGATTGGAAATTCCATCTCAATTAATAATTGGGATTATTATTCTTTACTAATAAACTGAATTTCACATAGATCTATGGTTTTGTATTCTACAACGACGGTTGGGTTGGTACTATAGTTGATGATTACGTGTTTTACCACAAGGAGTGGTCTGAAACAGTATTGAAGTTCAGGTATCTCGAATTAAAAGTTGTATATTTACTCAAAATATGTATTTGGTACACAATACTCAATGATTGATTATATTTTTGTAGTGATGCCAAGGGAAATGAGACTTGGGTTCCGCTCCTTGAAAGTGAGTTTGCATCTCCCGTTCCCATCACGTCCTTAATTATGCTAATTTGAAATAGTCTAATTTCAGTGAGTTTTTCGCAGAGGCATTTGCCAAGATCAACGGCGAGTACGAAAGTCTCGATGCTTCATGGGGAGTAAGAGGTATGTATAACATTCCTTTCTCGAAATACAAATTAGGCGTAAAAATAATAATTCTGTAACTTGCCTTTTTAGCACTTGTGGGTCTTGGAGGCATAAACTATAAGGGTTACAATCTGTTCCAAGTGGACAACGATTCTAAGAAAAGCCAATTGTGGGAGGCATTTCTTGACGCCACCAAGAACCATAGCATATTTGCCTGCAGTACCGGTAGGGACAATGGTAATATGCAGGGCTTGGTCCCGACTCATATGTATAGTTTTCTTCGCGTTGTTGATTTTCATGGTAATAAATTGATCGAGATCCGTAATCCATGGGCACGTACTGAATGGACTGGTAAGCATAATTGCTCGCTACAGCACTTTCTGTGAACTGTCCTACTGACATGTGTAACGGTTATTTCATTTGTAGGGAAGTGGTCAGATAATAATACGAGCCATGAATGGGATCCGTATAGGCAAGAAGATAGAATACCGGAGTTGGATTATTCTCTCGCTGACGATGGTTCTTTCTTTATGAGTTTTGACGACTTTCTTGGTAAATTCGAGAAGGTGGAGAGTTGTGAATTCCCACTGGCAGTTGGTAAGTGTTATTTAAAAACGAACTTACTTGGTTTGCTTTACAGGAGATGAAACTGATTAACTGAGTTGCTCTTTTATCTGTAGCCACATCCCTCAACAAGCCTGCCAGTATTTCAACAGACATAGTAGCATCTTGGTGGCATGGCAACTATCGTATTTATCAGCCTGATAGAGGAAATAGAAACCAGCCAACGGTGTTGTCTGTACACTTGACTTTCGGGAGCGACGGGACGACTATTAAGGTCAACGGCAGTGGAACGGATGATAAAGGCGATTATACTATTGTTAACGGCAGCTATGACAACTCAACGAAAAAAATTTCCTTTACCAAACAATACAAAGTCAATGCCAATATGGCCCAGAACTACCAAGGCATATACCATAATAATGAGGAACTGTTCTCAGGAACATGGGGCGATGCCAAAAATCCAAATACGGGTAATTTCTTGATTAAGCGGGTTTCTCCTGTCGAGGGATCAGATAAGGAACCGGATGAGTCGAAGATTTGGCATGGATATTGCTTCGATGCAAATAACAATGCCTCCCTGATGCTAATGAACATAACTGTATGGAAAGATCTAAATGGCGACAAAATTCTCACTGGCTCTGGTACAGATGCAATTGGTGCGTTTACCATTGATGGACGCATCTCAGGTGAAAATGTCAGCCTCTTCAAGAGGCATTTTAATCAGTCGTGGAATTATAACGGAAAGGCGCTAGGATTAAGCATGATATTTGGAACTTGGGGCACTAAAGTGCCTTATGATGGTGCTTTTATATTTTGGTCTGTATAGTGTGGTCATTCCATCTAATCTGGTTATAACGAACTTTGGCTATAACGAATATCTGTTTATAATGAAGAATCAATCATTAAACTTTGCTATAAAAGAGACCTTGGTTATAATGAATTTCTGGTTATAAGGAATATTTTTTCCAGTCCTGTAGAATTCGTTTTATATATATATATTATAACCGGATTAGACTGTACCTATATTATTTATTATAAATAAATCCATCTAATAAGTGTTTATCAAACATGACGTTTTTATTTATCACCATATAAATTTCGCCTTCATCACTTGATGCACGACCTTAACCTGATATATTTTCATTCGTCGTTTGCGAGCATATCAATATTTTGCACTAAGTTTCTATTGCTTTTTCTGGTAAGTTTTCTGCGACCTATATTTTATTATTATCGTACGCGTGTATCATTTTGTTGTTGTTGACAAAAAAACATAGTAAATAAGATAAATTATAATCGAAGGGAGAAGCAATAATAGTCTGCAATAATAATCGAAAGAGGAATACATTGATTAACGATCGTCATGTAATTAAATTTTTTACAATATTAAAGTCCTACTTGCTATTATTATTATTATGCCGTAGGCTTGCCACAATACCGCAATACCTACATGTATTGAAGACGTTCCATGCGCGAAAAGAAAATATCTCTCACCCGTTTACCTTCACACCAGTTTGGGAGGTGCTAATCCATTTGTCGAATATCATTTGCATTATCGAACATTTAATCATGATAATCAATTTATAAGCAACGAAATATTTACCATTAGCAGATTAGTCTTAAATGAAATGTAAGCTGGTAAACATATTGCGAACATCTAAAGTAAGCATTATACTAAAAGGTTTAGTAGTTGACGCATTAAAAACTGTAAATATTGAAGATGCAAAACAACAAAATACGTTATACATTTTTCCATGACGCTATACAGATCTGAAAGAATACGTCGCATTTATATTCGAGATTATAGTTACGTATTGCTGCATTGCGTACCTCTCCAACCACAATTATAACTATATAGAAATAAACAAAACTAATACGTCACATTCGTTACAACTTTATAACGTGAAACTAAAAGACTATAAGGCCATTTTCCTTCCGACTCACAATTAATAGACGTAAAACCAAGCCAACTCATGCACCACTTTGCTCGTTATCTATTGCAACACGACTCTTGACGTAAAACCAATAAAAGCATACACCACCCTGACTTTCAAATTATAATCACACATTAGAATCGTTCGTCGTCACATTATTTCTGTATTGCTTTGGTACACAACGGAAACAAGACACACTATCTTACAAATTTATCCCAACCATCTCTAAATATAAATACCCGCTTCAAAATTAACCATAAACAACAACAATAGCAACTTTCTAAATTTCGTATTAAACAGAATACAAACAGAATATAAAATAACAATGCTTGTGCACATTGATTCAAATATTCGACATTAAAGTCGAATACCATTCGCTTTAAGTAGGTTTGTTTCTGTTTTGTATCTTTCTCAACTTTGCCAAAGAACCAACCAGCGTTTACATCGAAGTCTATGTACCAAAAAAAAATTCTGAGTGGCTTGCATTCATTTCAGATGACAAGCTAGAGATCACCAAGACAGTGACTAATCTCAGTGACAGGACAATAACCGTAAGTATTCGAAGTCACCAAATCGAATTTACAACACTTATAACGAAATCCATCACAACATATCCATTATAGGTACATATTTAAATGTCACGTCTCGCCAAACCATCAAATTAATGCCATGTACTCGTACTTGGCTACGAGCCATCGAAAACATAAAGACAAATATGTCACAACATGACGGTTTTTACCGTGAAGACTACCCAGTACATTTCTGGAAGTGGCACCGCTGCTAAATTGGCTGATTTCGACATAATAATAATTGTTTGCCAAAACAATAAAATAAAATGAACGAACCAAATTGGGCTAATGTCCATTGTGGGAGAATTGGATGTACACACTACATCCTCCAACCTCTACATACTCATCTTCATCCGCTCCAGAAAAGAAAGCTTTACTCTACAGCTCCCTAAACGAATTTACGAATATAACAACCAGCCAAAAAGCTCAAGACAATCAAGAATGACAATAAAGAAGCGAGCCAGGAGATGACTTCATCCACTCCTTCCAATATCGACTCAACTTACGAAACCCCTATCAATCAAAAAACTCTTCTCAAACCCGACCATCCCGCCAACTACGCAAAGGCAATTACGTTTATCTAAAGAAAATATCTTCGCTCGCTTCCACAAAATTAGATTTCTCCCAAATATTAGAATAAATCGAGCGATTACTTTGAAGATCTTCTTATTCCATTATCTTTTTCTTTTTGTATAACATCTTTATCGAAGAAATAATAAAACTTAGTCGTCGCAATATAAAAAGTACGAGGGGATGCAGCCCCCCTAAAAATGTTAATGGCTCAATATTGCGTATATTCATTCTCAATAAATAAAAAATATTGCCCCAGTGCTTTTTCCTGGAACCATTAAATAATGCTTCATATACAATGACACTAGTGGGGAATCACATTACACATTATGCAAGAACTAATGGTGCAAATAAGATGAAATTTACACATTTGAAAACTGGAAACCAGCAGATTTAATTAAAAAATTAATATGGAATGCGTTCACCGTTGCTCTCTATGGCAAGCTTGGGGTCAGCGTTTCATTGATCGTATTAACCCAATAAGTGGAATATCATGACCACCAAACGCCGATATTTTTCAGTATTTTCTTCTCTATGTTTCTTTTAACACTACTATAGAGATTATCTGTTGGATTTAAGTCAGGACTGTTAGAAGGGCCAGTCTATAAATTCAGGTATGTTACCCCGAAGAAAGTTTTTAACGAGGCGGCTGTATGTTTTAGATCATTGTCCTGTTAAAACTGCCATTCGTTTCTTAACAAGTCTTCATAAAATGCTTGCATCCAAATAGTATAAAATTGGTTTATCCTGAATACTCCCCAAGCAAAGAGCTTTGTTCGATCCTTTGACATATGGTTAGGGTTAGGGTTAACGGTTTTAGATGTTCGAGTTTTTTAATGTTATCATAAACCTATGCTGTGGGAATGACCTTGCGTTTATGAATCTCTACGTCATTCCTAATGCCTTGTTCTCACAATTGTTACATAGCTTGGCGAATAGTCTCCTGTTTGGAAGTCATCGTTCTAATTGATATTTCTTGAGGAATGTTAAAGGAATTTAGAAATAATACGACTGAAAAATACTCATTATCATAAACAGCGGTTCAAATAAAACAAATACAAACTTCCTTATCTGACAATCATTTTACATTTTACAACCTAAAATTGGTGGACATATATGCACGATTGAATGTTACAAAAAATATTCCAATTTTTTTTGTCCCACACTGCATGCAACTATTTGACATACTTCGACGCTGATCGTGTTGATAAGGCAGACATCGATAAGATGAATAGACCAACTTATATTTTATAACATAAATAGTTGCATTTGATGTAACGACTATCACTCCCATATGTGATTATTATCATAAAAGTAACCTTCTTTCTAAGGCAGTCATAGCTAGACAGGCAAACGCGAGGTATAGAAACAAATGGTATAATGATGAACCTCCTCGCCCCGAAGAAGGAAAATGAAAGCCTTAACCTGCCCTGTTTAATGATTCGTATATTAATGAAACCTTATTTACAATTTCATAAATAATGAAAAATTCTACTCCAATGCGCAAGAAACATGGTAAAGGATAACAAAACAAGCATGATCTAGTAAAAGGACATACGTGATAAATCCCTAGAGTCGACTATTTCTCGAGAAACAGCTCTGTACGTAGATTGCGCAAATGTTGTAAGCAAAAATGGTTTAAACTTTTGTGCTTGTAAAGGGAACGAGAACCTAGCTAATATAGCGATTCTACATACACAGTGAGCCTGGATATATTGAAACCAGGATTTGACTAAAACGAAGTTTTTTCAATGTCACAAAAAAATTTTCTAATAAAAGTTCTTGAATATAATTAAGAAAACCTGGTTGCCTATTGTAACAAAGTTTTAAATCGGTAGACTAAAAAAAAAAACAATCGAGATTTGTCTCTCCGTTATGAATTTCCATTTTAGGGGTGAATCGTGACTCGATCACAATGGAAAAGAAAAAATTTTTTGTCACAATTTTTATTTAAAATCGCTTGTCATAATGGAATTTTTGGTGGATTGGTCTATTCGCAATTAATTGTACTGTATAAGGCTTCAGCCAGGACGGATTAAATTAATATGATTGGTTGGTTTCACAGATTCCATAAGTGTGAAGAAGCAAAGTACGTGTATCTGCTGCCGAGGCTGTGCATTTCAAAATTGATCTTGCATACTTTCAACCAAAGAAAACAATTGGTTGCTGGATAGCTTTATTGATAAGTACGACATTTGTGTGATTCCGTGACACATATCATAACAATTGGTATATACATGTATATTATTTCTATTGAATGCAATAAAGAGTCTTTCACTTGCAAGGTATATCTATTATTAGTCTTTCAATTTTTGATAATATTAACTGGATCCAGTAAAAAGTATAATTTTTACACTATAATGGAATTTACGCTATACTGGAGTTCATAGGTTGTGCCCAACTTTCCATTATAACAAGCTTCGACTGTATCTAGTTAATTATGCTTTCCAGAAAATTCTCATTCAGAAGGAAACTTTTAACTTTGACTACGATACAAATGCATGCGCATTCCCTACGTAGACAATGTTGACGGCTAGCTCCTATAATCTTGGGGTAATGCATCAAGAACCTCACACAATAAAATATTATAATTTGACAATAAATTCGAGTATTTGTAAAAGGGCAACCCTCATAGTAGCACCAACTCCATCATGTCACTACATAATCTGCTCGATCTACTGTGAACTGCTCGTTACTTAAAAGTGTATCTAATATTAATTGTTCTCAAATACTCACCAAGATATTCGTAAGAAGAATAATTAAATGTAAAAGTATTATATAAATTTAATTCTACGAAAATAAATAGAAAGCGATTGAATATTTTGATTCAAAAGTTTAAAAATTGCTATTTGCTTTTTCTTTGTGTAGCGACTTGTGCTGATAAACAAGATAGATACAAAGGTGAAATACGGCAGACAAGTCCTCTTGTTTGTTATGTGATCTATTTTGCTTCTCGGAGTTTCTGTTTTCGCATATATGAACCATCGATCATTAGATACAAATAAAGTTGTTTCTGATTAGACAACATTGATATTTGCAACAGACGTCGAGAACTGTATGTCTGAATAACTTCCTGATTAACCAAACTACAATCACTCAAGACAATGCCGATTGTTAGTCACTTAATTAGGATATTAATATGCTTGGTTATGTCGTGTCGCGATAAAGATCGTTACTCGCCTTCCTGTTATGGAAACCACATTCTCAGGTGATGATCGCTGCAAGATCGATCGAGTTTCTTCACTTTGTTTAATCTATTACTATCGAATAATCAAGTGGTTGCAAATGCAACAGAACTGACAGAAAAGCGTATGTCAGAATGCTACGCAATTACTATGCACTTTGTGTCATATCATGAATGAATGAATAGGTTCAACCTGGCGCCGTTAATGCAAAGACCACTGCGGGTACTATTGTGTTTCATTGATGTTGTGTTATTAATCCAACCTATTTTGGTTACCTCAATCACATTCCAAAAGAACTGGTAACGTTTCAACTGGAAATATTTTATCGCCAAGACACGCACGGCAATGGATATTCTAGGAAACCCATCCTGTTTGCATTGACTAATTATCGTCGAAACCATTTTATCGGGAGAAAAAAAACACTCGCCAAGGCACAGCAATAGATATCCTAGGAAACTCGTATCGCTCTTGTTCCTCCCAACCATTCTATACACCCAAATGCAGAAAGAGATATGCGAGCGCCTCGCTTCATAACGCGGATTGTTGAAACATCAGATTCAGCACAGCCTTCTTGTTCCAAAAGTTATAAAAAGAGGCAGTTTTACTCCAAGATTATCCCAAGCTTTTCCTTTTGGCTTTATATCAGCTTAATTGTCTATTAACCAACCGTAACAGTATTTATCAGAAATGGCACTAGTATACGATGCTCTCAAGACTAAATGGCAAAAGCGACAAGATACAGAGACCGTCGTTTTTGGAGCCACGCGTGACGCAGTCGTCACGAAACTTAACCGTTTGGTTCAAACCGTACGTTTATCCTCTTTCTATTTGCTTTATGCCAACTTCTCGAACAAAGAATAATGTGTATGTGAAATTTTATTTCAAACTCTTAGAAAGTTGCTGCGCTAAAAGGAGGCATGTTTACGGACGAGGAATGGAATATTAAAAAATATCCTATGGTTGCGCTTTATCAAAATAACAGGAGCCCCACCGAGAAAGATATATCTTTTACGAGCGAGTACAAGTGTATAGAACGTCTGTCCCCGCAATCGACATTCTACGTCGATAAAGCTAAGCCGGGTGATGTTAAGCAAGGTCGGTTGCGTACACGTGTTTTTATTTTGTATAACTTATTCTCACGTGGTATTATTGTCAAAAAGGTGAAGATGGCGATTGCTGGTTTCTCGCAGTTCTTGCTGCGGCCGCTGATGTTCCCCATCTTGTTCGATCCCTTGTCGTATTTGATGACAAAGCCAAGGTATAGGATTGGAAGTTTGCATCTCAATTAATAATTTGGGATTATATTGTTTACTAATAAACTAAATTTCACATAGATCTATGGCTTTGTGTTCTATAACGACGGTTGGGTTGGTACTATAGTTGATAATTACGTGTTTTACCACGATGTGTGGTCTGAGAAAACTAATTCTTTTGAAACAGTATTGAAATTCAGGTATCTCGAATTAAATTTGCGTATTTACTCAAAATATGTATTGGGTACACAATACTCAATGATTGATTATATTTTTGTAGTGAGGCCGATGGAAATGAGACTTGGGCTCCGCTTCTTGAAAGTAAGTTGCATCTCCTGCTCCCATCACGTCCTTGATTATGCTAATTCGAAATAGTCTAATTTCAATAAATCTTTCGCAGAGGCATTTGCCAAGATCAACGGTGACTATGAAAGTATCGATGGTTCATGTGGACTAAGAGGTATATATATAACATTTCCTTTCTCGAAATACAAATTAAGCGTAAAAATAATAATTCTGTAACTTGCCTTTTTAGCACTTGTGGGTCTTGGAGGCATAAATTATAAGGATTGCAAGCTCGCCCAATACAAAGTGGAACCAAAGAAAACCGAGCTTTGGAATGCATTTCTTGCTGCCACCAAGAACCATAATACTATATTTGCCTGCAGTCGAGATAAACATCATGACGAAATGCCAAACAGTCGTGGTGAAGATACAGTGGGCCTGGTCCCGGGTCATATGTATAGTTTTCTTCGCGCTGTTAATTTTCATAATAATAAATTGGTCGAGATCCGTAATCCATGGGCAATGACTGAATGGAACGGTAAGCATAACTGCTCGCTACAGCACAACTGCTCGCTACAGCACAACTGCTCGCTACAGCACAACTGCTCGCTACAGCGCAACTGCTCGCTACAGCGCAACTGCTCGCTACAGCACTTTCTGTGAACTATCCTACTGACTTGTGTAACGATTATTTCATTTGTAGGGAAGTGGTCAGATAAGAGCAGTGAATGGGCGCCTTATAAGCAAAAGGATACAATACCAGAGTTGAATTATTCTCTCGTTGACGATGGTTCTTTCTTTATGCTATTTGACGACTTTCTTTGTGAATTTGATGAGGTGGAGAGTTGTGAATACCCAGTGGCAGTTGGTAAGTGTCATTTAAAAGCGAACTTGGTTTACTTTACAGGTGATGAAGCTGATTAATTGAGCTGCTCTTTTATCTGTAGCCACATCCCTCAACAAGCCTGCCAGCATTTCAACAGACAGTCTTGTAACAGCATCTTGGTGGCATGGCACCTATAATATTTATCACGCCGATAAAGTAAACATGTCAGACTTGTCGGGTGTACAATTGACTTTCGGGAGCGACGGGACGACTGTTAAGGTCAACGGCAGTGGAACGGATGATAAAGGCAATTATACTATTGTTAACAGCAGCTATGATAGCTCATCGAAAAAAATTTCCTTTACCAAACAATACAAAGTCAATGCCAATATGGCCCGGAACTACCAAGGCATATATCATAGTGATGGCGATCTGTTCTCAGGAACATGGGGCGATGCCAAAAATCCAAATACGGGTAATTTCTTGATTCATCGGATTTCTCTTGGCGAAAATCAATGGGGATCGGATAGGAAATGGGATGGGAATTGGAGTGGATATTGCTTCGATGCTGCAAATAACAAATCCGGTCTGCAAATCCACATGAATGTACATGACGACCACCAAACTATCACCGGCTCTGGTACAGATATGGGTGGTGCGTTTATCATTAATGGACGCATCTCAGCTAACACGGTCAGCTTCACCAAGGGACTTACTACTCAGTCGTGGAGTTATAACGGACGGAAGAAAGGAGTGGTGATGTATGGAACTTGGGGCACTAAAGTGTCCGGGGGTATTTTTATAATTGGTTAGGTTTATCTCAGTGTGGCCACTCCATCTACCTATCTATATAGTCTGTATGTGTATATGTATTAGTATGATTGTTCACTATAAATAAATCCACTAAAAATTGTTATCAAATATGACGTTTTCTATTAAAAAGTTTCCAAATGTTAATGGCTCAACATTACTAACCATTATCTACTAGCGTACAATCCTGCATATTCACTCTCGATAAAAAATGTTACCTCAGTATGATGCTTATTAGTTAAGCAATGCTTCATATATAGTGATGTTAGTTATTACGGACGGATTAGTATGTGATATGTTATTTTTTTATAAATTGAAAATTCGCCACTGAAATTGGCAACGCCAATCGCGTCGATAAGGCATTTTCTGAAGACATCGACAATGGTGAATATTTTTAACGTTAATAAATAGTTGACAAACATCTCGCGAAAATCTACGAATTATGTAACGACTATCATTCATCATGGTTAAATATAAAATAACCTTTCTAAGGCAGTCATAGCTAGACAAATTATCAGCGAACGATGTAGAAACAAATGGTGCATGATGATAACCCGAAGAAAAATGAAAGCTATTAACCTGCCTGTTTAATCGTTCGTGTATTAATGAAACCTTATTTATAATTTAGTCGTTAAATATATATAATTTATTTTATAAATAATGAGAAAATCTATCAAGAGCAAACTAAGAGGTCTGCAAAGTCTGAAAGAAATATAACAAGAAGCGCAAAATCTTGGTAAATTATTAAGGCGTATAACAAAAAAAAGCATGATCTAGTAGAAGGACGAATCGGATTAAAAGGTTGACCTTAACAAGCAATGATAAAGTACATATTATATCTCATGTAGGTTGCGCAAATGTTGTATGTAAGCAAGAAAATTTTGAACTCTTGGTGCAAGCAAAGGGAATGTGACGAGAAGCTAGCTAGCTAATACGTGTATAGCATACACAGTGAACCTGGATATAACGAAATTTGATGTCCCAAAATTTTGTCTAACAAAATTTCTTGGATAGAACGAAGTTAATTGAAAAACCTGGTTACTTATTACAACAAAGGTTTAAATCGATAGACGAGTAAAAAATTCCTTTGAACTTGTTCTTTTTCGTCTGCTTGTGATTCCGACCAACTCTTTGATTCACCGTCAAAATTTTTGGAAACTCGGATTTTGTTAGATTCGCTATGTGTAAGTTTCTATTGCAGAGAGAGCATAGCTACTTGTACTTGAAAGTAACTTGTTAACAGAATCTCTGCCAAAAGCTTCTGAAAATAAAAAGATTGAAGAGCTGCCGACTCCTGTTCCAGTAGGTACAGGACCTTCATATTCGTTACTTTTTCGCGGCCTTTTTTCTTTTCACAACGGAGACCTTTGGTGAAACTTTTCATACAGATGCAATTGATGTGAACGTAAACGAAGTGAGCGAGGAATACGAGAACAAAGGCGGTGAGAGAGATATTATGTTAATATTGGGAATGCAAATAGACGTCTGCGTATTGTGTTGGCAAAAAAAAGGTTGACTATTTCTGCACCCAGAAAGAGTGCTATTCTTCAACCAGAGACAGACGATTCTAAATATTTTGGCAAAAGTCTATCCGAAGGCTATCTTAGGAAAAGTAGATTCTGACGAAGTTATTGAAAAAGATGACATTTCTCGTGATGTCAGTATCTTAATCGAATTATCCATACTTAACAATTTATAACGTCAATTAGATGCTAATTAATTTTAAGAACTTAATTATTTATTGTTTAGGCGGAGAAGTCGTCCTTGTCGATACAGCCGCTATAAGGAAAAAATAGAAAGATTTTTAAAGACAAAATGCTAAATCTGTCATTAAAAGGGACAGCTGTCAAAGCGTAGCTTGCAAGTATTAATTATCTAAATGAACAACTGTATCGGTTTGATATTTATGTATTCGATTACCAAAGGCTTTAACTATATATAGCAAATACATTTTCCGCGGGTATGTAACCAATGCTTTGTTTGTCTGAGTCAATAAAAATAATCCGACTCATGCTTTGTTCTAAGTACGATGTTTATCCCCAATTCCTGACTGAAGAACAACCCACGAGAAACGCAAACAGAACTACGCGCATTAATGGATATACTGTAACTAGTCGACTTGCAAAAGGTGCTTAATTCAAGCAACAACAACAACAACAATGATGATGATGGTGATGATGACTATCGCGTTTGGTACCCTAACTCGTAACTCTTTAGGACATGTACAAAAATAATGGGATTGTTGAAATTTCTAAAGATACTGCTACAAGTTGCAAATGACAACATGAGAACGTTAATTACTTAAGATTAGAGACATGCAAGAACTCTACAACAAGTTCAAACCCTTTCGATAGGAAACAATAGATAAATGGAATAATAAATACAAGAAATTCAAAGCCATCAAAGTGTCGATACGCAGATTGAACAAATTCTAAAACGATAAGGATGATTGGTCAAGAAAACATGGATTATTATACACGTCGGCTTTAAGGATATTCTGAACGCTATATTTTCGTTAATAGAAACAGAATGAGCGAGAAGAGGCGAGAATTATAAAAGACGGAGACAATTTACCTAATTCTGATAAGCGAGTTTTCGATGGTTAACATTACTTAGAGAATTAATAGGTAGTAGAATGATCGATACAGATAAAACCGATGTTGTAGTGTATTCGAACAAATACCCACTGATCCATTCGAAGTACTAACTGAAACTTTGCTCATTTTGTTGACCAGTCATCCCTAGGACTACCCTGCCATGAATGATTGACTAGTTGTATTCGTCATTTGAAATATAACGTTGCGTTAAATGAAGATGAGGACAAGAATAGACGAATAGAAGAAGCGAAGACGAATAAAGGAGGCGGGGTTGGAAGGTGTTAGCAGGTTGAAAATATTTGGTAAAGAACTAGTAGTTTATCATGGTTCTTCTTAAGATAATCTCGATGGTGATGAATAAAGGCCTTACAGCTTTGTAATTTTTTTTGTTAACAATGTAATAATATAGAAGTTTATCGAAATAATTACATTCACCTTTTTACTGTAATTTCACCCCTGCAAAAAACCCTGGCAGATGGATTTTTCTTTTCAATACCTCTGACAAAATATCTAATTCCGTTGTATGTCAAAGACTTGATCATCATTGTTTACAAAGATGCTCAGATCAAGAGATTGACCTGATGATCTGGAGGATTAATGATATTAATATGTCAACAGAGAAAAATCAAACCTACCCGCGTCATTATATGAAGCGTCTTTTTACAACGAAACGTGTTGTAAAAATGTTGTACCTCCTGTCTCGGTTCTGGACCGAGACAACTGGGTTCTGGACCGGGTGACTGGGTTCTGAACTGAGACAAGTCCCGAACTCAGACACAACAATAGTACGTCTGCGAGGGAAATTGAGTACTAAAGTGATAGATTCGAATGGTAATATAAAAGTCATTATATAAACGACCTTTTCCCCAGGCTGAAAAAGTAAGTTGGTTATTGCTGAAGGTAAAACTGAAGTCCTGGGGTGGCTTCATCTTTTGTAATAATGAATTATTAATATTCGTTATTTATTATTGGAAATGTTGTTGTAGTGTTATTATTTTGTTCTTTCGATACCGATACTTTGATGCAAGAATTCCCTAGTGATTAATGAGGCATGTTACGGAATAATTAAAATCGTGGCGATTAATAAGCAGGGCACGAGAAGTATTCGGTTATTATATTATTCTCTGAATTGACACTTTGCATGGCATGTAAGTTCGTAACATCGTGGCGACTAGTGAGAAGTGTTCAGTTTAGAAAGATTTCGATTACAAGACCTTATGTTTAATACAAAAAGGCGTTTGTAACAATAGAATGATGTATAACGTCGAGAGTTTAATTTACTCGTTAAAAGGTTGATACTCGTATTATACAACAAAAAGTTGTTGTTAATTTATCGTTGTTTTGTTTAAGTTATTAAATATTATTTCGTCAGTGAAGGAGAATTTATGCCAAAATGTTAGTAGAGTATTGGAGCCATAGAATGTAATAGAAACACGAAGCGTACTCTTGATGAAAATCCAATCGGAGCATTACAGTGGAAAGAGAAATATTAATGTTGAGGCCTCCATTAACGAGATAATATTTACGATATAATATATAATGGGTATTAGATATTTTATATATGAGCGGCATTTCTTCGTCCGCTACGTTTTAACCAGGTATATCTGTTGAACCTGACTTTCAGTGATATATTATTCAATCTTCGTCTGTATGACGAAACAGCGATGTTATTAATTCCCTAAATATACTGTATATTAACGAAATTAATAGGCCATTAAGAGTAGCGATTAGATTAGAAGTGTTGTAATTCTTATTAATTGTTATTATTATAGTTATAGTTATTACGGATAGTATAGAAAGGCCGATGGAGAATATATCTATTGCCTAAGATATATTTGAGACACGATCCCAATGTAAATCTGTGAAAAAGAAACACGAATCATGAAAGACATAGTCAACGTAAAATCATTTGTCTAGCAATAGTGAAATCATTCGTCTAGCAAAAAGGATTTATTCTAAAGAAATAATTAGTAATAATGTCCGTTCTTATATAATTATAAAGTTATACTTAAGTAGTATAATAAGTCGATGGCCTCATCACGAAGCATCGACAGTGAGGGAGCGCGAAGGAAACCGCCGACACGTGTGCGATGACAGTTTTGTATTGATACATCCCAGTGTTTGCATATGTTAATCCCTATCATTGTCCTCTATGACAAAGCATAAACGATACTATCCACTTGAGTACAAAGGTCAACCTTATAAATTCGACATTGTGTACAGTAATTATTAAAAGTTTAACGAAGTAATTGTAAATTCACAAAGTAGTATCGAATATGTATAAAAGGAAGAAGAGAAATTAAAATCTTGCTTTCAAATTTCCGACAAAACAGGTGAGCGTGATACTTGTTCCAAATAAAGTTGTAGTTATTGCAATACAGCAAGGCGCCCATGAATCAAACACGTTATATAACAGGTCCGTATTATTTCATCGACAATCATTTACATTTCACCAACAATTAACTACCAAAAAAAGGATAACTTCGAAATAATGTTGGTGAATATTTGTCGGTGAAATGATTGCCTCCCTTATATAACTAAGGCCATTCCACTGGTTATCTTAGCTATATTGTGATTTTTTGCAATAAAGAACACTTTTTCCTTTCTTTTACATACCATCGAGAAATAGATGTCGTTCCTAAGTCACCATGATTATTATCTAACACAATAAATAGCAGCCACTGTGATTCAAACTTGCTCTTCATAATCACTCGAACAATGTTTCACGATTCCATAGTTTAATAGTAATGACGCGTACACTTAATAGTAAACACAACAAAAGATAGTATAATATAAAGCACGCTCGTTTATCAACAAAGTTGCGTTAATATATGATATGTTTGTCATCAGGATGACGATATTGCCTATAATCAATCTTTTTTACGCCAGTTGGAAATATTTCAAATTTCAAGTTACGTTCCATAGTATCTAACTTTTCTTCCGAATATAAACAAATCCAATAAAGATATACGTATGACTTAAAATAAAGTTAAAGTTAGAATAATTGAATACATTTTACACTATGTCAACGAATAAATAAACCATTCATACTTACATTGAAAGTAATAAATTCTATGATAATGTCATCTTTAGACAAAACGTTAATCGTGCATGGTAAAATGTATTCAGCATAGTAGTTAAGTTCAATGTCCGTCTTATAATGTATTTCTTTAGTTGATGTTTTTATTGTTGTCTACAAAACCAAATGTTTATACTCATTATACAATTAAGATTAAACAATACATATTT